CACAAAAACTGCAAAATCCACAGAAAGAATGGAGGTGAAAAACTCACAAATAAGAATGAAGAGGATGAGGCGATGGTGATGGCAACAGCAACATCGCAGTGATTGGAAGAATATGGCGGAAATGATAGAAGCAATGGATAAACGCCGACAAATATAGGAGGAGGGAGAGGAGAAAATCGAGTGAGGATGTGGTGGATATGGGGGACTATGAGCTTTGACTCTGAAAAGTGAAAACTATCGCGCGATGGTTTTAAAATTCTGATAGACTTTTACGGCGGTTATTTAAAAAACCGCCGTTAAAAGTCCGCCTATAATTACAAAAATGCCACCGTCATATTTTTTACAATGTTTTTGCTAATACCGCCGTAAATTAGCGTCGTGAATACTCTTTTTTGTAGTAGTGTCAATGTCATTTTGAAAGTTTCAAAACATAGCAATTTGACCCACCCGATTAAAAATATAATATTGGCCATTAAAATATTAATATTGACTATTAACATTTTTAACAGCAAAAGGATAGCATTGCTTCATTTTAATACTTCTAGGATAATCTTGAACCCTCGAGGGTAACATTGCTCCTAAATAAAAATTTTCAGGGTAAATTTGCATTTTAGTCTTATAATTATTACTATGTGTTGATGTTTTAAAATATTTTTTTAATCATTTGTATTGAAACATACTTAACAAACAAACTCGATCCAGATGATTTTAAATCATAAATTTAAAAAACAATGCAGATTAGAGTTACTAAAACGAAAAGTAGTGGATAAATTCTGGTTCACCTAGAATTACAATATCATCTCAAAATTATCCTTATAATGTTTGGAATATACCTGTTCTGTCCTTCAAATATTCTGTTCTTTGTTTATGATTTTGTTCTCCGCTCCCTAGCTTTTCCACATCGCTGGTCGTAGTTCATCGACCAAATGACTCAATAATTGCTAAAATTCAGCTATTTTCCATTATTTTCACATACTCTTCCAAACACACGAGAGCCTGAGAGTAAAAAATTTGGTGAACTAACTTTTTTTTACTATACCTTATGTACATATGGAAATTACACCACAGTCCACGTGGAGGGGTAGAGAAAGTTCCATTGAAGCCCTTTTAGACCTTGGGGGCCTTAGATTAAAAGGATGAAAAACCTTCGTATGCTTAGTATAAAAGTTAGTTAACTAATTTAAATAAGTTAAGAAAATTAGTCGAGTTAGTTATTTGTAATAAATAGATGTTGTCTTTTTTAAAATACCATTACTAATCATGTGTATTAGTTAGAATTATAAATTGATAAAACTTTTAATATATGTAGCACTACAAGGGCTATCTTAAAAAAATAGATAAACATGATAGACACAATAGATTAAGGTCTTATATTTATGACTAAATTAAAATTTAAATTAGCTTTTATATTAAAAATTGGAGGAAATATACTACCTCCCTCAAATTCGCTCATGTGACAACCTTGTTGATTTGTTTACCAAGACACTGCTGACTAAAACATTTGAGAAATTAGTATATGGTATTGGAATGCACAGACTTAAAGACATAAAATGATGTTATTATTAGGGAGAGTAAATATTATGGACTTTTTTTTTTCACTAAGTTTTTGTCACGACGGGTTTTTCTTAGTAAGGTTTAAATGATGTACAATATTCATTATGGACATCCAAGAGAAAGTATTATGAATATTTCATGAATGGATACCCATAACCCTTAAAATTCTCATAGGATTCCTCATCTTCAAGTATCATAAACTACATAAACTCTTCAATATTACCTCTGGTCTTTAAGATAAGAGCTAGTTGAGTAATTTGAGTAGATTAAAAAGGCTTGTTAAGTTAGTTATTTGTAATAAATATGTGTTGTATTCTCTAAAATACTCTTTGCTAATCAAATGTAGTATTAACTTTAATATTTGATAAAACATTTAACATATGCAACTACTACAAGGACTATTTTGAGAAAAATGAAGAAATATGAGAGATAAAATGGATTTAGATCTTATATTTAGAACCAAATTAAAAATCAAACTAGTTTTTATATTAAATATTAGGGATAGTATAAATGTTTTATTCCAAGAAATTCATGGAAAACCTCCAAAAATAAGCCCAACGCTCCAGCTGGATTCTAAATGCATGGGTTAATCACTAAAATTAGGACAAGGTCAAAAGAATTAATAAAATTGAGAAAAATTATTTGATCTGATCATTAAAAAACTTTATAACAAGCAAGCAGTAGGCATCTCACAAGAAGTGAAAGTTATGCACCTATTGTTATTTTCTCAGTAAAACTTGTTATTACGTACTACTATTTGCTATAATATTTTTTAATAATTAAATTACATGTATATAACTGTACAATAATTCTTATTTGATTATCATGTTTGGCAAGTAATAGACAAATATTTCTTGCAAAAAGGAGTGGGAAATGGCATATCGTTAAGGTAAGATGTGAAGATTAACTTATGGAGAAAATCCTAAAAAAAATGATTATTGAATTTCAAAATTTCAAATCAGTATTGGTTACTACATTCACAAAGAAAATGACTATACTAAAAAACAAATAGCAACACATTTTTGTAGTAATTCCTGATTTAAAATTTTAAAATTCAACAATCTATTTTTAGGATTTTTCCTAAATTATACTATGACCCATTATAAGTTTTTATAATAGATAGATATTTATGACACACACACATGATTAGTTTATAATATCCTGTATCATCATCATCATCTTTTTATAATTAGACTTAGGAGGTATTCGGATGGAATCAAAATCACGATTTTAAAAGTACTTTTACGGTATTCAAAATAAATATGTGAATGAATTTATCTTGAATTACAAAAAAAATACTTTTTAGAAGCACTCCTGGTGCTAAGTTTTGATACTCTAATTAAACATTGTAAAATAATTATATAAATTAGGGAAAGTGTTTTCTTTAAAAATAAAGATCTTGCAATTCTTTTTATTCTGAGCATCATATCACTCCTCGGAGTAAAAATAAATAAATGTATAATTTTTAGCAAAATCATAATATGTTGATAAATTTTGAGAAAGACCTATAAATTACTAATGGAAATAATAAAATGTGTACATATATTATAATTTAATTAAAGATTATCATGATTAGAACATGTGTGTGTACATCCTTGTATTTGTATTTGTTTTTATATTTTAAATTTTAAGTGTTGATTAAATATCAACCTAAATACACAAAAAAATAAGAGTGCCCGCAGAAATTTTATCTTTATTAACGATTGATTAAATGGACTATCATTCGCAAAAAAGCAAAATAAATGGGCCATTGAAATATCATCTGATCCAAATACGAACGACTAACTTGATGGCGGGCCTAATTTAGATTTTTCCCCTCTGGCCAAAAAAAAAAAAAGGATGTTTTCCCGCCGATGAGGAAAGCCAAGCCCGTTCCGTCACGCTTCGGCTTCACGCTCCCTTCACGCTTCGATTTGATTCACTGGGCAAAGCTTAGTGCGTTTTCCATTCGGTGAAGTGAAGAAGCATATGCGTCGCAGATGCTCCTCCTTCAATCTGATCGATCTCGATATGCTTTCGTCTGCTTCTGCAAGGTACTCCTTCTCCTTCACCAAATTTCCTCTCTTTGCTACTTGTACCTTCCTTCTCTCTTCCCCTTCTTCCCTCACCCTCAAATGTCTACTTCATTCTCATTCCCTAAATCCCAACAGCCTTAATGACGCTGTTTCTACAGTCAATCGCATGCTCCACATGCGTCCCCTGCCATCTTGCCGCCATATCAATAAGATTTTAGGATCTATAGCGAAGATGAAACATTATCCCCAGGTTATCTCACTTCTTGCGCTAGCCGAGTTTAAGGGATTCACACCAGATTTAACTGGCCTGAACATCTTGATCAATTGTTACTGCCACGTTGAGCAGATGGATTTTGCTTTCTCTATATTGGGGAAAATTTTCAAGATGGGTTATCTACCAACTGTTGTAACTCTGACTACATTAGTAAAAGGGCTGTGTTTTAATCAAAATGTTGGCAAAGCTCTAGATTTTTATGATGACATAGTGGCGAAAGGATTTAAGTTAGATGAAGTCACCTATGGAATATTAACAAATGGGCTATGTAAAATGGGAAAAACTCGATCTGCCATTAAATTATTGCAAATGATGGAGAAAAATTTAGTCAAGCCTAATGTCGTTGTCTACAGCACAATCATTGATGCCCTTTGTAAAGACGGACTTGTCAATGATGCACACAAATTGTATTTGGAAATGATTGATCATGGGGTATCTCCAAATGTTGTTACTTATAATAGTCTTGTCCATGGCTTTTGTCGCGTGGGTCAGTGGCAACAAGCAAATGAAATACTTGGTGAGATGATACCTAAAGACATCCACCCGGATAATTATACTTTCAGCATTCTAGTTGATGCCTTATGTAAAGATGGCAGGATTATTGATGCTCAAGCTGTATTTGCTAGGATGGTGAAAAGTGATCAGAGACCTGATGTTGTTACGTATAATGCTTTAATGGATGGATATTGTTTGACCAATAATATCATTGAGGCTAGGGAAGTATTTAACAGGATGATTGAAAATGGTTTGGCACCTACCCTTTTTAGTTATAATATTTTGATCAATGCATCCTTTAAGATGAAAATGGTGGATGAAGCCATGGATCTTTTCAAGGAATTGCATTCTAGAAATTTGGTTCCTAATGTTGTCACTTATAACTGTGTTATTGATGGCTTGCTCAAATCACAAAGAATCTCTTGTGCACAGCATATTATTTATGAGATGCATGAGAGGGGTCTTCGTGCTGATATAATCACGTATAATATCTTATTGGATGCATTTTGCAAAAAAGGACATCTTGACAAGGCAGTTACATTATTTAAGCAAATTGTCAATCAAGGATTTCAGCCTGACAAGAAGACCTACACTGTACTTATTGATGGTTTGTGTAAAGGTGGCAGATTAAATGTTGCTTGGGAGATTTTTCAGTATCTTTTGGCCAAAGGTTATCATCTAGATGTCCATGTATATACTGCTATGATTCATGGATTTTGTAAACAGGGTTTGCTTGATGAAGCCAAGGCCTTGCTTGATGGAATGGAAGGAAACGGCTTACTCCCTAACTCTGTTACTTTTGAAATCATTATTCGATATCTTCTTGAAAACAATGAGAATGACAAGGCAGGGAAACTTCTACATAGAATGAAGGAGATAGAGGCCTCCTGAAGAAATAAAGCAAGGTGAGATACTGTAGATCAAATTCATGTTTAGCTAGCATGAGTGGTTAGCGAAGGCTTGTACATTTTGTTGTGAATATATACAGTTGATTGACTGGTTTGACCAGAATATAGTTTGATGTATAATTGTCATTGAAGTGAAGTGCTTTTGCAAGCATGTCCAGGATAGGAAATTTTGAAGTTCACACCATTATGGCTTGTACCAGCCAAAATTGAAATTATTCTTAATGCTTACTTTGTGATCTTTGTGCTCTGGTATATTTGAATTCTAATCTTATGTGCACATAGGCTGTCATTTAGTTATTAAAAAAAAAAAAAAAAGCTGAGATGTTGAAAATTGCAAGATGAGGAGGTTTCTTGAGTTTAAGGTGAAAATTCCTTGTAATAAAAAAAAAAAAGAAATTAAACAAAGAAAAACTGAACTAGAAATCAGTAGACTGATAAGGAATTTTAGATGTTACTGTGGTTGACTTTTTGAGAGGTAACAGACTGTATAGTTTATGAATCTAATTTTAGGCAAAATAAAGTTGTCTTATTTTTTGTTGGTATATCAACTTGCAGAGGAAATTGCCTCGCAGCTGCTTCTTGTTTGCTTCTAGTTCATTATTAGATGCCGCAGGTCTCTGTTACATATAGACATCTAGTTTCATCTGTACCTACCAAATCCAGCGCTACCCAGCACTTCATATGTTAAGGTTTGCGGACAAGTGGCTCCAAATCCGCCTTGGGAGATAAAGAAATGGGAGACACGCGCTTGGATAGTAGTGGTAGTTGTTTTGGGTACCCTTTTAGCTTTGATTATCTTCGAGGGTGGCTTATTGCTTTGGTATTGTAAACGTGATTCGTGTTTTCTTGGATTCTCAACGCAGTCTGCTCTTCTTGAGTATGCTTCTGGAGCACCAGTTCAGTTATCATACAAGGAGCTTCATCGTTCAAATAAAGGGTTCAAAGAGAAGCTTGGTGATTGTGGATTTGGTGCTGTTTACAGTGAAAGAACTTGAGGGCATTGAGCAAGGTGAGAAACAGTTCAGAATGGAGGTTGCTACTATAATCCGCACTCATCATCTCAACTTGGTGAGGCTGATTGGGTTTTGTTCTGAAGGAAAGCATAGGCTTTTAGTTTACGAGTTCATGAAAATGGGTCTCTGGACCAATTTCTTTTTGTCAATGAACATCAGTCTAAGAAATTGTTGAATTGGCAGTATCGATTCAGAATTGCCCTGTGCACTGCGACGGCTATCACTTACCTTCGTGAGGAGTGTAGAAACTACATTGTCCACTGTGATACAAAACCTGAAAATATTCTCTTAGGTAACAATTAATATATAAGACCCATTTAACTAATATGATTAGATTAAGAAAGTTAGGTAAGTTAATTATAAAAAATGTGACATGTTTTTCCTAAAATACCATAATCATCTTTCTTAATATCCCTTCTTTCTTTTCTACTTGATTATGATTGAGGAAGTATTTATAGAGATAATTTAGAAAAAAATGATAAATATGATAAATGGGTCTTATATTTATAACCAAAATCAACTTAACAATTAGGTTTTATATTAAGGACTGGAGGAATACTATGCTTGAGTGTCAAATTTTGGCCTTGCAAAACTCACAAGTGCCTCTGCCAAACAAAATTTATGATCTGATTAAACATCATTACCAGCCAGTTCACAAAAAGCAAACACTCAACCTAGTACTTAGACAATTTTTTTTTTAAAAAAGAAAGTGCCAAGTGTCAATTAAATTACAACAAAGAGCTTTAATTCATAAGTAAAAGAGTTAAGACAACAAAATTCATAACGAAACTCCAGGTAAAATGTCAAGATAAGTCTTGCGAGAGTGGAAACTTAATGTTGGATTGAAAATTATTTTCTTCCGTAGGACGATTGTTTGAAGTATTATTTAGACTAACAAACGTAGTGCAAAATATAATACTCCTCCGGTCCTTATTATAAGACCCTATTTGACTTTTTATTTGGTCCTAATTATAAGACCCCAATCCATTTTGTCTCTTATATTTATGTATTTTTTTCCAAGATACTCCTTCTAATAATGATAGTTTTAACCAATATACTTAATTAGCAAGGATATTTTAGGAATGACAACACTTATTTATTATAAATAACCAACTTAACTTACTTCCTTAATCTCCTCAAATATGTCAATTGGGTCTTATAATTAGGACCGGAGGAGTATTAACATTTTTTTTTTACTTCAACCTTTTTTGTTTGCATAAGAATGCATTTTTCTGGATGTAATTGGTCAATTTTCAAATTGACACCATTAATATTTTAATAATAAAATTTCAGGATTCAATAAATAAAAGTAAAGCGTTTAAGAAAATTTAATGTATATTTATTAAATTTAGTAATGTACTAGTAGTAAATAATGGTATAATTGAATTTAAGAGAAATTATAAAAAAAGACTTTGGAACTACAAAAACATAAGGACTATTGACAATTTTACTTTGGGTTTTGATAATTTGATGACATATTATTATTGTCTTGTCAAAACCCAAAATGAAATTATCAAGGGTCTTTATCTGCATTTTTACAAGGTCTTTTTTTACAATTTTTCTTTGAATTTATTTTTAAAAGAATATTAGAGAACCAAAACTGAGTCCAAACAAAAAAAAAAAAAGGACAACCCAAACCCCGGGGGGGAAGGGAAGAAAAGGGGAAAGAATGGAGAAGAGTGAAGGAGGAGGTGGAGGGGGAGGAGCTGAAGCCGGAAGGGATGATAATAGGCTTCAATAAGAGGAATTTTCACTCTGACGTGAAACTGAAGAGCGTAGAGAAGCTTCTGGGCGGGGAAAAATCGAACAAGTGTAACTATGGAATTGGGAAACTTGGTGGGTATAATTAGGGTTTAAGGTCAATGCGAACTCAAAAGTTCGCATGGAAATCCGAAACTTGTGCAAGAGCATCAGGTACTCCTTGAAGCCTCTCTCCTCTAGATTTCTATTCTATCAGTCCTTCTTGCCACCAATCTCTTCCACTACCTTACCGACGACAAGTCCCCGTTCAACTTTATACATCAGATTCAGCTTCCTTCACTCTTCGACCTCTCTCAATTCCTCAGTTTTCAAATCCAAATACCATTTTTTTAATCCTTCATCGTCCTTACAATTTGACGATGGAGACATCTACTTGAAGATTGATTTTTATAGACGTCACACTTGTAGGCATTTTAGGTCGTATTTCGCTTCTATTGATCAGCGCACACCGTTTCCGACTGCCAAGCAGGTCTCTGAAATCGTTGACTTACTGAGAGGGGGCGAAAACGATTTGAGCTCCAAGTTGAATGGGAAGAATGTCACTTTATCCATACCGTCGTGTGTAAAAATTTTTCAGATATTGTCTCGTGAAAGAGTGTCGGCATTACGATTCTTTGATTGGCTTAGGGCTTCGCATCCTGAATTTTGTCATGATTCGCATATATGTAGCCTGGTTATTGATAATTGTGGGCGACTGGAAAATTACGAGGTAATGGTTCCCATTTTGAAGGAATTTAACTTTAAATGTGTGTGCTTGGAGCAAAAAGCATTTGGGTTCTTGCTTGATTCAAGTTTGCACAGGGCTTCTCTTATGGAATCTACCGAGAAAGTAATATCTGTGTTAAATGAGGTTGGAGGGTCATGTCAAACTTCAGGCATCCGGTCATTGATAGAAATATTTTGTGTTTCTGGTTCATTTGATATAGCCGAGTTCGTGATAGGGACAGCAGGGAGGAAGGTGAATCATTATAATATCTTGATTAGGGAGTTTTGTAGAAAAAGGGATTGTGAAAGGGCAAGGAAATTGTTAAAAGAAATGAAGCAGAACGGTTGTGCTCCAAATATAACTAGTTATAATATGGTGATTAGTTGTTTATGCACAAATGAAAAATTTGCTGAAGCTACCCAAATGCTTGAGGCTATAGAGAAGGAGTATGGTTTACCAGATGCAAGTACCTGTGATATACTTATTCACTTCCTATGTAAACGTGGCCATTTTGATTTAGTATTGGAATTTCTTGATAGAATGATTGGGAGGGGTATTGAACCTTGTATTGCATCAAATGCTGCAATAATAAAGGCTTATTTCAGATCAAAAAATATGAGGAAGCACATAAGTTTGTGGTTGAATCTGTTACTAAGCAGAGGTATTCCAGCAATGCGAACTACAGTTTGCTTGCAGCCCTTCATTTGAATAAAGGCAATGTACTGCAAGCCTCGAAGATTCTGCATGAGATGATGGATAAGGGTCTTAAACCTAATTTTCGGGTTTGCCTGTCGGTAAGTAAGCGTCTTGAGAAGTCAAAAAAAGCAATGCAGTCAGAATTAATGAGGAGATACTGGAGCATTATAGAGAAGTAAATGCAAATGCTGAATTTTGTAGACAGGTTTTGCTAAATGCTCAGCATTTCCCTTGTAAACTTCAAGTGGATGAGTTTTGACCAGCTAATCACATGTGCTTAATGAGGTTGATTTCTTTCTGATCTCATTCTTCATGCTGTTTTGTCTCCCTACCTTTGCAACAACTCCTTTAATGGCCTAATTTTCAGTTTTTTGGGCTGAAAATAGGTCTATGCAAGCGACTTAAAGTTGAAAGGGTGTGTTTACATTGATCCTTCTTTGAAAAAAGTGTTTGAAAACACCCTGAAGGCTAAAGTTGGTAGGGTGCGTTTGCATTTATCCCCTGTTTTAAGTTTCAAATTGTGGGATGACTATATGAGCTGCTGATATTTACTAAAATAGGATTTATGGCGATGAGCAATTATATATGTAATAATGTGATTTATCAGCACCTCCTAGAGGCATTTAACGTGCATCCTAGAGGAGATGAAAAGAAGTTCTAAATTAAAGCTCCATTGTTTTCGCTGGAAAGGATTTTATAAGAAAATAATAATAACTTTTCCTATTTTTGCTTCAGTCGCTGCTACTATTAACATACAACTGCCATTGTCTTCTGTCATCAATAATTGAGGACCGTTGACATAATTAGAGTTCAAGATCTTCAGTTGAAGTTTGTTTTATTACGATAGTAATTGAGGCTGGAAGTGATCTGGAAGCAAGATTTTGTATGTTCTTCGAACATGGTGAGGGAATGTGGTGTGACAATAAGCCTTGAAGTAAGAGAAGCTACCAGCTATGCTTGTCATCAAGATTGTTATGTGTAGGTTGTGCTTGGAAGACCCTGAAAAGTATTAAGGTGAGCATGTGGTTTTCTGGATTGGATTTGCAGCTTGGTTAACGGGAGAAATATTTTCTTGTCAAAATATCTTTTTCTAGGTGATACTTATTCTTGTCAAAGCATTTGATGTACTGAGATGATGTAAACCATACCAAGCGCATGTAAGTATGCATAACATTAGCTCTTGAAAATTTAGACCATTTCAGAACACGATTAATTTGGTGCTCACATGAGAGAAATAAAGAGAACTAGCGGTCCTCATATTTAGCATCTTGCTTTTTCCTGAAATTCATGATGTTCATTCTGTTGAGAAGTTTAGAAGATTCAAATCTATTTGTTTGGACTCGGTTCTGATTCAAGTTTATTCATGATTGACTTGATTTGTCTATCTCTTGTAGATTGAATTTTCTAAAGAGTTTCTGGTTATTGTCTCATGAGTATTTATCTGGCTGGATTGGGTGTTTAGTGCCTAGGTCCGTACTAAATCCAAAACAGGGTAGAATGTGGAATAAAAACGGATTAGCTTTGCTGATTAATATTGGATCAAAATCGAGATGACCCAAACTGTAGTTTTTTTTTTTTGGCCGGAGTAACCTGCAGATTGCAGGCCTCTTAATTGCCGATGTGTTTTAATCTTTCTCTTCCTTGTTGCCCTTTTGTGAAATGGATTCTCTGCCATGTTGTGTTGTGGATCATATGGTATGGCTCTGTTCTTAGACTTTAATCAGTGCATGAGGAAATGTGTGTAATTCCTTCAAAAACGGGCGCTTAATATTATACAAAACAAATTCATGGAATGAACATTCCATTCTCATCCAATCTATGAACTAAATAGGCGTTGAGTTCCTTCAAGAAGAGAAGGAAACCAATTATGAGGGTCTCATTTGCAGTATAATTAATCTACACTACAAACGATGTTTGTATTTAGAACTGAAGGAGGTACTTTATTTCATATTCACCAGAAAATTACTTTGAAATTAATATCTTGGACTTGTTTTCAACTTTGTAGCCTATGGATGAGCCAATTGTTTCTCCTCCTCCTTCATGGAGGAAAAGTTTTTCAAGTTTTATAGGCTATACCGTTGTCGTCGCTCTGATGCATAGGTGGCCAACAACGGTGATCACTGGAGAATTTTAGATACTTTTTTCAACATCGCTTAAAACCAAATTTCTTGGCCTGTTTAGTTCAAGTATTGAATTTTAGAGAATTAGGAATGAGATTGAACATGACATTAGGGCTGAGAATAACTTTTAAAATTTTGCAATATCCATGAAAGGTGATATTGGGTGGTCTCTTACGGGGTGTTTGGAAGCAACTAAAAGTACTGTTCGGAAGCACTTTTTCATAAAACGAGATAAATTCCTACATATATTTATTTTGTATACTGTAAAAATATTTTTAAAATTATAGTTTTAATTACATCCAAACACCAAATTGCTAGAGTCTTTGTACCAAACGTAACAAAATGGACAATTCTAATGCTAATATCAATATAAACTCCTCTAAAACTTTGTACCAAGGCAGATTCTATAGCATATATTATCTCTGGCACCCTTGGAATTCCGATAAATCAAGTTTCAAATTCCTATAATAACCAAACCGATTCTTAAGGATTATGATAAACTGACACAAGTGAGCCTTATATTTGACATTTCATATTAATATTGATGATGCGTCCGAAATTTAGATTTGTCATTGCAGATGCAATCACAACAAGTGGTTATTATTTAATTTGCTCAACAACTTCTCATGCAAATGTTCCCCAAATTTCTAACAAAAGAATTAGTCAACGCTGCGAGGTGAAAGGCGTGTGCTCAACTTTTTCAAAGGAAGATTCTCTGATGTCAAGTATCTCCAAAGTCTTTATTTGTAGGTCCAAGTAGACTTTGGTTGGGATAAAATTCATAATTCATTAAAAAAAATAGATAAATGAAGAATTTATATGAGAGTTTAATTTTAAAATTACAAATTATTTAATTAGTTAATGTGAAGGAAATGATCATTTTTTTCGTTGAGCCTAGAGCATCCATCGCTATTACCAATGATTAATCCTCTTGTACGACAGACTTTTTGAAGGGGCTTTGTTGCAAATGATCATATACTACCTCCGGTCCTTAATATAAGACCCCATTTGACTTTTAGTTTGGTCCTAATTATAAGACCCCAATCCATTTTATCTCTCATATTTATACATTCTTTTCCAAGATAGTCCTTCTAATAATGATAGTTTTAACCAACACACTTAATTAGCAAGGATATTTTAGGAATGACAACACTTATTTGTTACAAATAACTAACTTAACTTATTTCTTTAATCTCCTCAAATTAGTCAACTGGGTCTTATAATTAGGACCGGAGGTAGTATTTAAATTCCCAAAACTTAACTAACTTGAAAAAACATGCTTGATTAAAAAAAAAAAAAAACAAAGCAAAACGTGCTTGATAATTCCTACCGAAGAAAAAAAGCTTGGTATACATGAACAAATTGAACCTTCTACAGTTGTATCATTATAATTTAAGAAATAATGTAACCAAAGAGTGTCCCTTTTTTTTTTTTTTGGACTGAAGGCAACAAAGAGTGTCAAGATATCAATTTTTCCCTTTTCACCTTTAATTTTTTTTAAAAAAAATCCTACAAATAATTAGTTTTCGTCGCATATATTTCAAATTAATTAAGTTTCGGAATTATTAGAACTAGGAGAGAAGGACAAGGCAAATCTCTTTTTTTTTAAAAAAAAGAAAAAGAAAAAGTGATTTACCAGAAAATAGATTCTTGAGAGTGGAAAAATAATCACCATTTTGACAAATTGTTGATTGATTTTCTTGCTTATATATATATATATATATATATGTAATATTAAAGGTATGTAACTAAATTATTAAACTCACGAGTTTAAGCAAACTTGTGATAGAGATATAAATTCAAACGAGTTTACTTTTATTAATAAATTAGTATTGAAAGTATATAATTAAATAATTAAAGTATAAAAAATAACAACAATTTCATTTGAATATATTTTAAATCCAAATAATTGAAATTAAATTTATTAATATTCATAATATACCATATTAAACAGAGAAATTTTTATGAAATTCATATACAAAGTCACTAAACATAACCAAATTAAAAAATTTAACGCAAGTTTAAGAACGAATTAATACGATTTTATAAGTTAGAAATAAACGTAAAAACGATAAATTCGTTGAGTAAACTCATAAGTTCAGCTTGGTTTACAACTATTACAAGTTTAAAAACAAGTTAATACAATTTTATGAGCTGAAAAAGTAAAATATTAAACTCGAATAGTCAACTTGTTAGTTTGACAACAATCTATATACCTACAAACAACAAATTAGAATTGTCTGCATAACACAAACATGCCGTTTTTCCTCCCAAAAGACTCCAACTTGCCTTATTTCAATTATATGTTGTGTACAATATTCAATTTGATTAATTAATTAACTAAATCACAAAAAGCTTAATTTAAAATTCCCATATTGATTCATAATGCTGCGTTTCTTCTGGTTCACTCAACCTTAATGCTTCTTGGCCGTCGTCCTCATCATTAGACGGTAATACATCAAATCCTAGCAAAGGAGCAGCTTCAGCAGCCATCTGCATCCACATCTTTGGTGAATCCAATGGCGACTCATTTATAGCCTGAATTTGGCTCGGCGATAGCCCCACCGTCACTGGCGCCGCCTCCACTGTAGACGTAGTGCCGTGGCTTGCCTCCGACGGCCCTCTGATCACCACTCTCTCTAGGTTCAATGCTGCTTGCTGTGCTGCCAACCGCACATCCTCAGCTCGGGAGCTTGCCGGCCGGGGCAGGCTGCCGATGAGCTCCGGGAAGTTGAGCCGTGCGGCTTGGCCACGAAAATGTAAAGCTGCGACATCGTATGCAGCTGCAGCCATCTCTGGCGTGTCATAGCTCCCTAACCATATCCGGGTCTTCTTGCCGGGCTCCCGGACTTCGGACACCCATTTGCCCCACTTTCGCATGCGAACACCACGGTAGGTTGGCGGAGTGGTGGTGACGGCGGCGGAGGTGGAGGTGATGAGTGGTTCCATTGAAGGAAGTAGTAGTGAAGGTGATTGTATATTTATAGAAAAACGATGAGGTTCGATCGGAGGAAGAAGTACGAGAGGGAGCTTCCCAGTAACTACACTCCAGTGCGGACATGCTGTCAATGAGAGTGCCGCGGATTGGCACGTGCTTTTTTTTAATTGAATTGAATAAATTATTCTGGTAATGAAACCTCGTTTATAAATTATAAATAAAATATTATAATTAGGAATAGAGTTAATAATGCATGATGTTATACCACTTCTGATCCTTAATATTAAAGTTAGTTTAATTTTTAATTTAGTCTTAAATAAGATCACAATCTACTTTATCTCTTATATTTATTTATTTTTTTTCAAAATAGTCTTTATAATAATTGTACATATTAAAGATTTTATCAAATGATAGTTCTAACTAATACATATGATTAGTAAGAGTATTTTATGAAAGACAATACGTATTTATCATAAATAACTAGTTTAACAAACTTCCTTAACCTTAATTAACTAACTTTTGTATTAAAGATAAAATGCATTATTTTTTTAAAAAAGTTCAAAATTAAGAGTTAATAAGATAAGCTTGAGGGAGGGCGGCAGGCGTCGTTTATTAGTTTCGTTGAGCCATAAGGCCACCCACTAATAAATCTTTTAAAATCTTTTGTTTGAATAATTAATTTATGATTAAGTACCGTGTTAATGAAGAATGTCACCTGTTAAAAGATTGCTAATATATTAATGCAAGAGCTAAATAACAAATAATTTATAAATATTAAGAAAAAATAATTAATTTAGTTATTTATAAAAGATGTGTTAATTTTCCTAAAACAATCCTAATCATTTGAATTGGAAAGTACCCTGTTAATAGAAATTCTTTTAATCACACGTTCTAACAAGAATAATCCGGAGAAAATAAAAATTTAGGAGGGAAAGTAAAATAAAGATTTGCATTGAAGACTAAATCAAACTCTTCAGGAACTTTTATACTACTTCCGGTCCTAATTATAAGAACTAGTTGACTAATTTGAGGATATTAAAGAAATAAGTTGAGTTAGTTATTTGTCATAAATAGATATTTTCTTTCCTAAAATATCCTTACTAATCAAGTGTATTGACTAGAATTACCATTACTAAAAGATTACCTTGAAAAAAATATATAAATACGAGAGACAAAGTGAATTAGGGTCTTATATTTAGGATCAAAATAAAAGTCAAACGAAATCTTATATTAAAGACCGGAGGTAGTATTTTGAACGAGTTGATACTGAATATTTTTCACGTGAGTGATTTAATTTACGTAACCGGAGTAAGTCTTGACATACACACACACACA